TGACGCGTCTTATTGTGTGTTCAAACCAGGGCTGGGAAACTTGAAACTGACCGAGATATCCGGGGACTCACGCCAGATAAAGGAGAACCCGGAAGACAAGTAGTTGTCATCTTTAAAAACGACTCAGAGACCAGTGAAAAGATAGCAAAGAAGCAGGAGAATAAGCAGGAAGACAGGCAGATTATTAGGAAAAGTTTACATCAAAGAAAAATCGAGTATGAGGAAGCGCGCAAACGAATATTTTGTGAGGAGGTCATAGCAAAGAAAAGGAAGAGAAACTTTATTAAAATACAAAAGATTAGGGCAAAGAAGAAAAATTTTAAAAGGATTCAAAATAAAATCATAGCAACTATAGTTACTATTAAGGGGGATAATAGATTCTTTGCGAAGGCGAAGATAGGAGAACAGGAGGTGCTAGCACTGTTAGATTCTGGAGCAGGAGCGAGTTGCTTGGGAAATAATTCGAGTGCGCTACTACAAGGCAAAGAAGACCTGATAATGCCAATCAGAGGTCAAAATATAAGAACGGCAAATGGTGGGGAAACCGTGGTAACCGGTGTTATAACGCTCCCAGTCGAATGGGACAATATGACAAAAGAGATGGAATTTTTGATTGTGCCCGGCTTACAACAGGAAGTCTATTTAGGCGTAGATTTTTGGCAAGTGTTTGGCATGAATGTGGTTAGCAAAGGAATGAATGTCGGCTCTGGCAGCACTGTCGTTGCAGACTTAGTGCCCGCCGAGGGTGACTTATCATTCGACGTGGTGCAACACACACTTACTCCGGAGCAAGGTCTTGCCTTAGATCGGGTTAAAGCCCAATTCCCCTCGTTTTCGGTATTAGGATTAGGAAAGACTGATGTCGAAGAACATATTATTGAGGTGACTAATGAAAATTTGCCAGTCAAGCAAAGATTTTATCCGATATCTCCCGCGATTCAAAAACTTATTTACAATGAGCTTGACAGAATGCTAGCGATGGGAGTAATCGAGGAGAGTAACAGTAGCTGGAGCTCTCCCGTGTCTTTGGTCGTGAAAGGGACGAAGAATCGGTTGTGCCTTGACGCAAGAAAGGTTAATGAGCGTACGGTAAAAGACGCATATCCCTTGCCACATATTGACGGCATTTTAAGTTGGTTGCAAAATACTCGCTATATTTCGGCAATAGATCTTAAAGATGCCTTCTGGCAAATTCCCCTCGAAAGAAAGTCTAGAGAAAAGACTGCCTTCACTGTGCCAGGCAGACCGTTGTACCATTTTACAGTGATGCCATTCGGTTTGTGCAACCAGCGGCTTTAGGAATCTTCTTACGCACACGCTCCATGGTGCAGGCACCATCGGCGGGTGCGAGCCTGTAGCGCCAGCTGCTTGCCAGCTACGTTGGTGTGCGTTTGTTTGTAAGCGTTCGAACTCGATCGAACATACAAAACTAGAAAGCAATCGAACCTCTGTTAACCACAATGATGTCCCAAAGAAAGTAGCGTGTTAGAGTGAGGAAGTCCGGTAGACTGATGGTTTGGTTAAGCAGTCATGAGTGTGTGTGTGTCAACGCTTGGCTTAAACAGCATTTCTTTTATTTACTTATGTGTACATAAGTAAGTACTTGATACGGTATGTTCACTTGGTAGGGAAAGATATAAAAGGACCATACTGATGAAAAACGGGTTCAAAAGTTAAAGTTGCGGTGCTGAAATTCGACGCAGTGCGGTCTTAGTGCGGGAATATATTCGCAGTTTTCTAATTGTGTAAAAAAAAAGGGTGCAAACAAATAAAATATATATACATATATATGAGGATATTGTGCCGTTTGAGTGCGCGTGTGTAAGGAACCGTCGCATATACGGATAACCGGGGAGCTTCTGGGGGTCACTTAATACTAACAAGAAATTGGAGGTAAGTCCCCAGGCAGTAAAAGCATATTTATATTTTATAGTTATACCTTGCGGCATGTATGTAAGTGCATATGCACATACATAGACCTATAATATGTACATATCACACGTTTGATGATGTAACGAGGGATTTGAGGATTTAGATTTTGTGGGAGAACGCAAGCAAAGTGTTATCAACCCATACAGGGTATAGAAAAAAAACAGATAGAAAGAAAAATATCCTCGGCATATTTGGGAAGTTTGGTCATCTCTTAGACTGAATATATTCTACGTATCAAGCTTATTAATTGCATAACGAAATCTCCAAAAACGTAAATTTTGAGTTACATCTCTATATTATTAGACGGGCGATATGTATATTAGTAAACCGGAAGGTATAAAAGAAAGTGAATGATATACATACATACATATAAACTATTACTCTGAATTTTACTAACAAAAAAATATTCTTAATTTCAGATCGCCTGCTGAAATACCCAGCAAAAGGAGCTCCACTTTTGAGTGCCGCTTGGACAAAGACTCGCTCGCCACGTAGTCGAAGCATGAAACCTTGATGATCGGAAGCAACGGAGTCTTACACGTACACACGCACCAGCCATCATCGATACAACTACCGTGGTCAATCACAGCCGCAGCCAACACACACACCTACATATATGTTTGCCAACAAGGGTATATATGCATGTACATAAAATCGCACACGCATCCGGACAGATAAGTATCCGCATCCACCCTGGGTTATATCCGCACCGCAACGTTAAGCCAGAGTAGTTGACACTGGCCAACAGATATTTGGCAACAACAACACCGCCGTCGCCAACAGCTGTTCCAGCTAGTCCAGCTAAAACAGGTCAACGGCCATATTACAGACCTGTGGACTCTGCACAGCCCCCATACAGAAGTGGATAGTCGTCAACGAAAGGGTAACAGCGAGGGAGAGAACAGCATCCACTTCAGCGCGGTCAACGGGAGCAGCATCAGTGAGAGCAGGGGAGACTAGCGCTCCACCTACGCCGCCAATCAGAACCAACGAGAGCCGTGGAGACTTGTGCTCCAACCACACCGCGGATCAACAGTAGTGGCATCAGAGGGGCATTCCTTAAATCTTGTTACGCCAATACATACATACATACATATTTAGTTGTTATTATGACCTAGACTTTACTTATATACTTACATACATATATATAGGCTTTAGAGTGGTTGGATTT